CATATCTTCACGATCGATCCCTCGACCAAGATGCTATTTTATTTGGGTTCTTATCGGGAATATATGCCGGTTGGAAAAGTTGATTTGGCAGATTGTGGCGGTCGGCAATTCTGCGTGCCGGTCTGGCCCGACCGGCGCCGACCAGCAGCGGCAGATCCCTGAGCATCATTTTGGTCATGTGACTTCTAGTTTCGCCAGCATGAGCAAATTCGTTTTCACCACCCGATTTAAATCAGCAAACACTGAATATATAAAACGTTGATCTACATGGACACTGTTATTTATCTCATGTACATGTAGATATGCTAGAAAAGTCATCCCACTTCATCATAGAGTTAACTGGGGTGTAAGTGGATGTTCAACCTCGCTACTTTCTACCGCTCTTTACGCAGCTTGTATGCACAAACCACAGAGTGCCAGCGACACCTTTCTGACGCGTACATTACGAGACCGGCTCCGGGCTAGCTTTAATATAGTTTTACACACAAGAGTATGGTTTTGTACCTTGGAGTAGGAAATTGTAAAAAGCTAAGTCTGCATTGTACAGTCGTAAACGGATAAAACAAATCGTAAAAATTACGCCCAAATCGTACAAGTTGGCATCTCTGCCCAACGGCACATAATCCTTCATGACACCTCAATGCACTTTGAAGGAATCAAGAACTAGGGTTGAGACCACATCAAAACCAAATTGACGATGACTTCATGATTGGTCAGTAACAAAATATACCTGTGTTATTGTGCACTCCATCAGAAAGAAGTATTCTGTAGCGATCAACAGAATTGTTGGTGGCAGCAGTGGGGTTCAGCTTCTTCAAAGCCTAACACAAACAAAACATCCATTATGAATGCTTCAACAGTTTCAGCTGAAAAACCCTCCGCCATTTTCAAGCAAAAGGGGCACAAAATGACATCGCAGCTGAAGTGTGCTTTCCCTCAATAAATGCACATATGCCTTTGATGTTGCAAAGTTACTTTGCCATCATTTGAAGTTGATGACAACAGCTGTTATGTGATCCATGCAAATCTTTCAAGCAGGTTCTCAAACCTTAACATGGAATCTACTTTTTTCCCTCAAGCCTAACAGCATTGCTTTTCATATTTAGCTAGGCTTACTTACCAAAAGCTGGAACACAGGCTTGTCTATCTGTGCACCATCATTGATTGCCTGCATGTTGAAAACAAAGACATACATGTCTTTTAAATGCTGTTGTGCCATATGTGAATGCAGAATGTTGCTAGCGTACCTGTATGCAGAGCGTGCAATTACGGTGAGACACTGGACATTTTCCTAGGACTTAGTGTGTTTGTCCGAACAAAATCAAAAATGCTCGGACAAATTGTCCAACTCAGCTCTTAAAATATCAACAGACACATGGGATTATGGCATCCGATTTATTATTAGTTTTGTGTTGGAATTACGTTAATTACGCCCAAGGCATTCATCAGGGCTGATCGCTCATCACCGACCCATGTCACCTAGCGCCATGCGTGTATGTATACTTTACTTGCACAGACATGAAATCGCCTGAAAATTCTTTGCACATCGTCAACATTCACGTTTTGCTGTCACAGGGATGAAAACACGTGCGCGAAACTCTACGCATTAAACGAAGCTGCTCTGCACTGCACCCATGCAAAAGAATGCATGATGGAAATGTACATGTAACAACCAGTACCAGTCTGTACTGTACATGTACTAAATGTACTGTACATAAACACTCTTCATCGGCCGTACGCGTCGCAAATGCAAAAAGGCTGCAGGCCGGAAAGACATCGATGTTATGTTGCAAGAGGTTTTCTGCAAGTTAAATAACAGAACTTGATCTCTTATTTATGTATATGTATGTATTCTCTGTGTTCATGAGCGTAATTAGAGGTTGTTCTGCTCATGGCACAAGGTTTAGCACCCACTGGTCTGCATGCATCTCGCATGCTTACCACGCGATACATGGATATTGTTGGCCAGTTTGCCGTCGTGATTGCTGTCGTGATTGTGTGAATTGTTCATAAATTTCTTGTGAATTGCCGTATGTAGAAATTTTCACATTGATTTTAAGACAGGTGTTCATCACTTTTTGAGATACTTTTGGAGGCTGTCACCTCCACTGATGCCATTCAATCAGCACAAAATTGCCCCCAAACAAAAATGTTCTGAGCTACCAACCCAATTTTTGATAGGCATGCAAAGCACAACTACATGTATTTTTTTTGCCTAATAAAAGACTGCATGTATGCAGTAGGCCTTAGTTAAATAACAATATTCATGGAATCTGAGAAATCTTCGGCCAGTGTTGATCCAATTTGAGCAAGCAAATTTATGACATGGTCTGCCTGATCTGGCAAACTAAAAAAAAATTGTCACGGCCTGCGCCCGAACAAGGATTGCTGAATGCGGCTGTATGTGCGGTTATGGTAGGACCAAGAAAAATTAAGTGAATTTCAACCCCTGACACTACACGTTACAACTCTACCTTTTATATAATATAGCAGATCAAAAGATGGTAATGGCAGAACAAAATTGATTGTGTTATGACATTTTATCCAAGCACTTTTTTGGTCTAATTTCGCAACTCTGTGCATGTGTCCCAACTACATCCTGATCCATCCATCCTAATCAGTTGGGCGATTTCAAATTACACTCAGTGCCAGTGCTGCAGTTGGACCTACAACAGTTGCAGACATTGGGACCATTGTTACAATTGGGATGTAACATGGGCATTGTACATGCAGCCAGGCGCACTGCTGCCTGATACTTACTACAGTTGCACTGTATTCATTAGTCACCAGCACAACTCAATGCTGCTGGTAAACATCACAAGTCCAAGCACATTTTCCCAATGACCGGGGCTTCTATGGATCCCCTTTACTTCCCACTGAAGATAGTGGTTTCCTGTTATAGCACTCTCCAATTTCAATTTCTTGAAGGTGACAAAAAGTTTAATTTTACTGACAAGTTTGTATGAAGGGCAAACCTTAACCAAGGACTGCTTTGAGAGGCCAGCGTGCCGTAATGTTGTCTCCAAGAGATTAATATAAAGTTCAAATCGCTATTTGAACAAAATGGCAATATTGAGCTCAAGGACAAGACTGTTTCCGATTTGAAAGGGAAATTTCTCTTTTCTTCCCAAACCTGATTAAACTTTATCATCAATAATGGAATCTAAGATTCTCACTTGATCCTAAGCCGAGCGCATTAGATAGTTTAAGGCCCATTTTGGAGGTGAATTCGGAGGATTTTAATTCGGGGTACAAGCTAGTTTGAGTGAAATTAATTAGGCCTATGTCCTAGGCTTAACCCTCCTTTCTGCGTTTTGCTGTAAGCCTAGACCTAGTCGTCGAAAAAACGGGTGGCGGTGACTTCGCCCCATGCCACTTTGCCCCTAACAACTTCGCCCCACCTCCGATTATCGTTCATTCTGGTCTTTACTCATAGAGGCATAGGCCTAAATGCAACAAATAATAATTGACGTTTTAGTAACTAAATAATGGTCGGAAAATCCAATTTGCAAGGGCCAAAACAATGCTTCTGGTTTCTCGACCTACCCTTATTTTTTGGCGAGACCCTAACAATATATTCAGTGCAACGCCACTATGACGTACACGACAGGGTCCATGCTAAATGTTCAGTATAGTGGTCGTTCGGTATAGCAAAATTAACTGCCATGTTGAATAGCGCCCTCTTTTGTCTGACTGAATTGCACCCTCTTGTGATACTATGGTTCGCTATTTTTGTGATGTTTTGCCGTTACATTCACGTTTAACGTATCTAGAAATGTATCTGTTCATTATTTTTATTTAATCTTGAGTTACAAAATTAGTATAAAGTTATCCTAAAAGTCATGAAGCTACCGCTCAGGATCAATCTCTAATGCTGTGGGGAATCTCGGTTGATTTGTATATCAGGGGCACCCTCTTTAGACTATTGTTAGTGCAATGCCAAAGTGCGCGCGCGTACGTGCAGTTTTCTTCCGCACACGATCATGCAGAGTCGCAAAACCAGTGTCCATTCAATACCGTTGACAGCTAGTGGCTTTCCCTTCTAATCCTTGGGGAATAATGGCCACTTGTCACTTTCCAACATAAAAACACCGACTGTTTTATCATGTTGACGTTCGGGAATTACAAACGGCAACTGAATAGTGTTCGGTAGGCTCTGTGCACAAATTTCTGGGAGCCAAGGACGATGTTCAGTACAGCCGAATGTTCGGTATGGCAGAATTCCACTGTATTGGCAACTTAGAGAAAGCAAATTTAATAAATATAAAAACGACAAATAAATATATCCTGTTTCTATTCTGTCTTCACAAATACCTCAGAGCAACCTTTTCCTCATTATAATGCCTGTGTTTACATGTACATGTTTCCCAGTTACATTTGCAACATGTGAAAAGCAACTTCTGTCAATTTCTCGAGTTCTCTTCGTGTTTTGCTGTCGCTGTGGTTAAGACACATGCACAAAGCGCTGGTACCTGCCTCCAAAGCAAAAGAATGCCGGATGGAGTGTGGCAACCAATCTATTCATTCCGCAGGGATCATTCATGTACATGACCTCACGCATCGCAAGAAACATCGATGTTGCAAAATTTCTTCAAGTTACATGTAATTCACAGAACTTAGTATCTTGTCTGTGTGTGTGTGTATTTTCTGTGTTCATGAGTTTATTTTTAGGTTATTTTGCGGCGAGCCACGGTTTATCTGCACCCTGGCACCTGTCTAGATGCATTGACAATTAACAGAATCATGTGTAGAGAATTTTGTAAGCCTATCGCTTTGAAATAAATTTGAAGAGGATGCGAAATAACCCAAATGTGACCCACTCTGCAAAAATAGTCTTAAGTCGCCAGATCCACTTTTTGAGTTTTCATTTGTATTGGAAAGAGCAAATTCAGTTTCTTGTTTTGATGTGTATCACTCAGTTTGGCATCCTGATGAAAGTGGATACTCCATGGTGAAAAATGCTGTGGGTTCCTATTGATTTACACTGTGCAAAATTATTCTAAAGGACATTTTACTCAAAAGTGGCTCTGGTGACTTAAGACTTGCTTTCACAGAGTGGGTCACAAATGCTTGTCCAACCATATGTAGGCCTATTAATTCACCATGGACAACACAGTTGACATTATAAGACTTGAAGGTTTTCATGGTGAATGAAACTAGAAGAGTAACAATGATTGCGGTTGCACCATGTATCAATCTCTTTGAGTGTGTGTGGTTCTGAGAAGAACCGGGGAGTTACAGTCGACATTAATTTCGGCCTAATGATAGCCCCACTAGTGTGGCACGGACTCTCACTCCCGCTCCATCCTTAGCCACACATCCGTATATGCAATTTTGTGTCGGCGTACTGAACATTTTCAGCGCACCCACTTATCATCGTGGGCACGATTTCTTTTGCACACGGAGATGATCCTTAGCCTCTCCACTTTCTTAGTGCCATTTATTGAATGATTTCACTCACGTTCTGGTTTTTCCAGTCTTTTTGCCTTCACCCATTCAATCTCACGGGCTCACTCTCACAGTCACCATCTTTAAAATAAGGTCGCTGAACATTACGTCACTTGACCCCTCGTCTTCTCGACAGCTGTTCCATGTCAAGACATAACGTTCAACGACCTTATTTTAAAGATGGTGACTGTGAGAGTGAGCCCATGAGATGGAATGGGTGAAAGCAAAAAGACTGGAAAATACCAGAACAATGCGAGTAAATCATTCAATAAATGGGGCTAAGAAAGCTGAGAGGCTAAGGATCATCTCTGTGTGTAAAAGAAATTGCACCCACAATGATAAGTGGGTGCACCGAAAATGTTCAGTATGCCGACACGAAATTGCGTATACGGATAAGTGGCTAAGGTAGTAAGGATGGAGCGGGAGTGAGAGTCCGGGCCACACGAGTGGGGCTAGCCTAGCCCTAACCCTCCTCAATCCTCCAACAGGTGAAGGATTGAGGAGGGTTAGGGTTAATGAATGCCATAGAGTTTTCTAGAAACATGTATAGGCCTAGGCCTAACTCCATGCTGTTTGTGGAACTCCTCTCTCTACCATTTTGCTGAAGGGGCTTGTGCCTGTAAGTTGTAACTAACATCCTTGGGGCAAAGTGGAAATGGGGCGACATTAACCCCACACGTAGGGCTGTGGTGGTGACAGAAAAGAGACAGATAGTAAAACTAAAAGAGAGCCACCACAGCCCTACGTGTGGGGCTAGGGCGACGTGGGGATGGGGCGAAGTGGTTAGCCGGGGCGACGTGGAAATGGGGCGAAGTAAAGCTCAAAAACAATCAAAAATTCCTTCCACTTGATTTCCCCCACTACACAGACACATAGGGCCTATGGGAAATTTAACTGATACTGAAAGGTACTGGACCCTATCGCCCCATCATGTCCACATATCATGGGGTTAAAACAGGGGATTTGTAAATTGTAGCTCCATCATGGTCATGATGGTAGGGTCCAAACACGGAGGTAGGAAAAACTCGAACTAACGGTTAGACCTAGACCTGCATTCAAACTGATAGATTCAATTTTTTTACCTCTAACGCTCCAGACGAAAGTTGAACGCTCATGTTGTTTTGCAACAAAGTCTGTAAGCCTATGAATTGCAGAGAAAGTTACGCCACAAAAACTTCAGCCAGTACTTGCACTTCACCAGGCATCAATCTCGCGCCATCGTTTGTGCAATGACATACGCATGGCGCGCTAAGTATTCAATTTCAATCATGTGCGCACGCGCACCAGAAAATGGCCTTGAGCTGAATACAACGACTATTTTATGCACATCATTTCTTTAATGACCACGTTTCAGAAGAAAATGGAGAGCATTTCTTTACAAGCATCTCATAAATACTTTCTGTCCAAAGGCAAATATTATGACCAGCGCTAGCATGATGTTAAACGCTTATGGCATCAAAGGAATAAACAAGGGGGATTAAAGCAGTCTGATTAATTAAAGACAAAAAGTCACAGTAGTCGAGATATTTAGTAATCGAAGAGCATTTTTGTTGCCATTAATGTTGTGTAACCATCGGCAGATCAGGTGGACAGGGCCACCCCCCCCCAAAAAAAACAGAGCAAAGTCGTTTTTTCACTTTTTGGATGGACTATTTCATTTCCCTTCCTTCCTCAAGCGTGTAAAGCCCCCCCCCCCCATTCAGGATCACCCTGACAGGGGCCATATAAAAGGTAAGGGCCTACATTAAAAAATTCCGAAATCCCCTGTCCTGTCGAAAACAAATTGCTGCCCCAATTGGTTTTGTATCAGCCCTTGGTTGTAACCGACTTTTAAAAATACAAAAACACAAAGTGTAACTGTTTTGCTGTAATTATTGCCATGTCAGTAATGGCAAGCCTCGTCGGTGACAAAAAATGATTGATTACTGTGACACTATGGGGTTTAGAATCGATTGAAAAATCGGTGGGGTGGGCGGTGGAAATACATCTGCATCATACTTCATCTCTCTGTGCTTGTGGTGTAGATGCAAATACACAGTGGACAGTATAATTCGGAAAACAGAATTAGAAGCCATTACCGTGGTGGCGCAACACTCGTGGACAGGTTGCACGCTCGCGTTTAATGCCTCTTTGACCAATCGGGTAGGAAATTGCCAACAATGCACGCACGCGTCAAGCTTAGGAACATACGCGTGAGAGCAGTGCCACAGCAGTATATTTGGCGTCTCCTCGGATTAGTCTCAGATCGATCATTATACCATAATGTATTTAAAATTCTTTAATTAATTTGCTATTATGCTACTACCCAAGCCAATTACCTATAAACTGACGGGTGGTCTTCAGCGGATAGTCCTAGTTGTACTCCGGAATAAAATTCGTTGCGCGTACTCAGTGTGCTCCACGTCAAATGCGCATATTACGGCGCGCCTGTGGTTGCACTACACCAAATACGAGCCCATAGAAAACAGTGCAAAACCGGGCAGAAATTGCGCTGCCTTTTGACTCTAGGGAAGAGGTTTGCCTCCGGTTTTTCACTGGAAATTCAAGATCATGGCCAGAAGTTCACTTTTCGTTTCAATTTTATCCCAATTAGCGACGCGATTTTCTTATTCGCCTTTCCCCGAAGATACCCCGAAAATAGTAGCAATATGCGCTAAGCTCTGAATGTAACCGCCCGCCTCTATCCAAAATAGGCCCACAGGTTGGGACTTTTTGTGAAAGAAATACCCCGAATTTTTAAAAGTACTAGTCCCAAATTCGTGATTTATAGAAATATCTCTATGATCCCTCCTGGCATGTCTTATTGTAAAAAACGATTACCCTCATTTCGAGGCTTCCCTTGAATGTAACACTGCTGTATTCAGGGAAGCTAATCGAACGCACCCTTTGTTTAGCCATCACGTGATCTTTGTGACTGCCCCGGTGTCAGCCACCACTACCCCGGGTGGCAGCAGGTCTCTGGAGGCAGGTCTCTGGAGGCTGCCCGAGTGTTATGACGTCATGGATGGACTGTTCGAGCATGGACCTGATGGAACTGGCGCGGCGGGGACTTGACCTTTTCCCAGAATGCCTTGGAAGGGCTGAGTAGCGCCGTGATCAGTTACTCAGTAACCGAAAGCTCAGCAATCACATATTTCAGAGCAGCGTTCAATTAGCCTCATTTTGAGGCTTCCCTTGGTGTAACACTGGTGTATTCAGGGAAGCTAATCGAACGCACCGAATGGAGATCAATGGTTGCACGCGGCCTGCTACACGGAGGCCGTGAAAGGTAGCCAGCTTTCACCCGCCTGCCGTCGAGCCGATAGAAAAAAAATGCAGTTCCATTTTTGTCGTATCGGGGGCTTCAAAATTACCAATACGGCCGTTTCACAATAGTGCGCCACCAAGAGTTTGCAACGCGTTGGCCAATCACAATGCACGAAATTTGCCAACACACTGCGCGTTTGGAAAGGGTCGACAAATTTCGCGCGTTGTGATTGGCCAACGTGTTGCAAACTCTTGGTGGCGCACTATTGTGAATCGCCCGTATTAATCCCCTATTGTGTACCCCTAAAATGTTCAGATTTTGTTCTGCTTTATATTTCGGTGTCTGTGGTAAAAATGGCAGTAATTTAGTTTGGATGCTCAGTTAAAGCTGCACTCACTTTGTTCTCACAGAAAAGATTTTCACCCTTCCGTATGCCACATGTCGGTTTTCAATGAAATTTATTAAATATAGGCCTATAAATAAATTTTCGTACACTGTTTCCTGCGAGTGTGTAAATTAAAATGACTTGGCCCACTTTCACTTTATTGATGAAAATTTTCAGTGTTGACTCATCAAAACCAGACGGAAAAAACATGTGGACAGTTTGGGCATCGTATTTACTAACAAAACCTCACGGCATTGTATGTCTTGGTGGAATTCTCAAATTTTTATACAATAAACACAACACAAATTAAACCGACCCAAAGTGAAAATATTGCCCAAGCAAGACGACAACAATGCAGGTGTGAAAAATGAATTCAACACAAAATCAGGTTAATATTATCGATTTCGAGTCGGTTATTTAATAAGAAAATGGTGAGTTAATTCCAGAAATGATGTGCTTGCATTTTCTGTTTATTTTTGGCTACTTGTGGAGAGGGAGGCCGAGGGCATGTAGCCGCCGTCCCATAAGAAAAATGATTTCTCCGCAATAAATTTTGCCGACCGGGAAATGCACAACATGCATAGGGGCTACAGCATCACATTACCCTCCTGAAACGCAGCGCGCTGCCATTGTTCGGCTGCGCATTTTGTGCACAAAAAATGCGCGATCGCGATGTCCTATTCAGTCTTTATTAGGGAGATCAATGGTTACCATGGCTACCGTCATGTTTACCCGTGATTCTTTGAAATGTCATGGGAAAACTAGATTACTTGCGATTTCACACGTCACATAAGTCCCAAATTCAAAGATGGCCGACGCTGATTTCTGGCATCGTATGTCTTGGAATTCTCAAATTTTTACATACTAAACACGTCACGATTAAACCGACCAAAAGTAAAAACATGCCAAGGCAAGACCGTAGACAACAGGTGTGAAAAATGAATTAGAAACAAAACAAAAACACACACATACACAAAAACAGCTTAATAGTATCGATTCGAGTCGGTTATTTAATAAGAAAATGGTCAGTTAATTCCGGAAACGATATGCTGGCATTTTCTCTTTATTTTTGGCTTGTTTTGGAGAGGGAGGCCGAGGGCATAGCCTCCATCCCATAAGAAAAATGTTTACTCCGTAATAAATTTTGACTAACGGTAAATGCACAGCATACAGCATCACATTACTCTTCTGAAAGGTCCCAGCACAAGTGCAGGAACATGTCACGCGTACACACGTAAACACGCATACACCACTGCACTTGACCCGTGACTCGCCGCTAAGAGTATGGTGAAAGGGTATCCTCTTTTTTGTCAAAAGTTTGACAAAGCAATAATTCCTAACTCAAGGAATTAAGTTTTATTAGGACATAAACTTTTTAGATGAGACATGTGACGTATTTTTCGGTTACAAAATGTCTCGATTCACATAATTCACAATTTTTTTTTCAAACGGACTCCCAGTTTTTGAGTGCAATCGACTAAGACAGTCTTCTAGTTCATACGAATCTCGTTTCATAACCTGGAAAACTCATTTGTAATAGATGTTGATTAAATTTGGCAGCACTCAAGTTTTTTCAGGTACAAAACAAAACAATTATTGCGTTATTTATAACCGCATTTTTTCATTACTTTATTGAGGCACAATATCAGTGCTAACGAACAATAAAACAATTAATGTAATTTGGATTTGTTGTGAGAAATTTCATTATTTATGCTCCGTTTCTTGAAAATCCATTAACAGAATGATGCCTCATTTTGTAGCCAGAGCACGAGAAATCAGACATAATTGTTATGCCATTGTTCACTATCTTGCACACGTGATGCATTTTGGTAATGAGCCCCATGAACACACGTGGATGTCCTAGCTAGTCTTTATTATATAGATAAATGGTTACCATGGCTACCGTCATATTTACCCATGAATCCTTGAAATGTCATTGGAAAACAAGATTTCTTGCGATCACAAGTCACATAAGTCCCAAACGCCGATGCTGATTTCTGGAGAGCACTCGAAGCAATATTTTCAGAACAAATTTCATCAAGAAAATGTGTTAAAACGTTCGACAAGCATGAAAAACTAGTTGTATTTCTTTATTTAAATATCACTTCGATACTAAAACGAGAAAGATTTGTATGTGAGGTGAGTTTGGTTCGATGGATTGTGGAGGGTAATCTGTACATCGGCAAAATAGCCGACCGGAAATTTGGCGTCTGTGTGACATCGCTATTTATCTTTGGATAAGTCAAGACAAGTTGAACATGTTAAGACACGAAAACATTTGCATACCTGCATTTATTTTCCTTTAGTCAATGATTTATTGTATTTCTTATTGTTTCTAAATTAAATGTATAAACGTTTGTTGTTGCAGTAAACCGCCAATTGTATCACCACCAATCATCAACGAAAGTAGCACCCGGAAGGGCCTGCCTTACCGCCAACTTTATCAGCTGTACATGTAGTAATAATCAGTAACTCCTGCCTCATGTCATGTTATGTGACACTTGTTAATTAAAAGTAGCAGAGTGTAGGTGCGTTCATGACGGGACCAAGTTAAAGCTTATGTAGCAATGGTTTCTGAGGCTACAGTGAGTATTCACGACGCGCTGCGGTGTATCGCACCAAGGGCTACCAAAATGTTGCTGATAATTGTTTTATTTTCCTGCCCTTTCTGGACGGTATCAATTGGTCACAATAAAATTTGCACCCGAATTGGCCAGTTGGAGTATTTTCCAGTCGAACAACGCTCCCTAACAGGCAGCGTTCACCAGACCATAGAGCCTGTCAGTTCGGTCACCTGCGCGCAAATGTGCCACTTCTCTCAGGAGTGCCAATCGTTCAACTTCTGCCGTCGGATTCAAAGGTGTGAACTCAACCACAGCACAAGGCACAGGTCTCCACAGGAGTTTGTCCGAGGTGAATTCTGCACTTACTATGACACCAACAAGGTATTTGAAACACCAAAAATAATTGTAGTGCTAAGTAATAGGGTATAGTGGTTCGTGTCTTATCGTCTGGGGACATGATCAGTGAAGTAAGCCTATTCAGGTTTTGCATGTAAGTCGGGGAGGGGCAAAATTATGGTAGCCCTGGAGGGACATCGTCAATCATCAATATTGACGTCCATATTCACGACCAAATTCACGACTTGCTCTTCAGTCACGAATACTGACGCATATATTTGCTACCAAATTCGTGACTCGTTGTAAACCGGTCGCAAATATTGCCGCGATTTTTTTCCAGACAGCCAGGTATTGAGAGAAGTTGCTCAGCTACAGACCTTTTCACCCACGTGACTGGATTGCACTAAATGTAAACATTACCACCGCGTGTGGACTGCCTTGGCCACAGTGATCGCATATATTCCTGCGGGCAGCTTCAACCACGTGCAAGTGCACGTGCGAACGCTGCATGCTCGACTAGTTTATCTTGAATAGGTAGATTACCATCACAACCCTATGCACTCATTACCACCACACCAGAGAGCAAGTCGTGAATTTGGTCGCGAATATTGTCGGCAATATTCGCGACGGAAGAGTGGGTCATAAATTTAACATTTCATAAACATTGACGTCAATTTTGACGATTGTTGATGTCTCTCCGAGGCCACCATACAAAGTGGGATTTCCCCGATTTTTCTGTTTTCCATGCTTAAAAAACCCTAACCCACCATGAAGGGAAAGTGTCAGCGTTTTCAACTCCTTAACCCCGATTTTATACTTCAAAATTTCTCTGTTGAGTACCTTAATTAGGAAACCCAGAAATAAAACCTCGTCTATGAATTCTAAGGAGAAAAACTCTGGGAAATTCCTGCCCGACCCCCGAAGGCGATCAAGCATACCCGGTTCCAGGGCTTATACCTTTGTTGTTTATCTGCTGGAAACCAACACTAAAAACTGCACACCATCTTACATATCAACAAACTTCTCAACAGATTGATCTTGCACTTACCAGGAGACAGTACTTCTTTTTCTGCCACATGCCAAGATAATTTGTAATTCTAGTGCCCTTTCATAAATTGAAGACTCCTAAACGCCCATCTGCAAATCAGCATTAGCACCAGCCTGCGAGTATAATCGAATGCAATTTTGATGCATGTAAATTTAAACCGCTCTGCGTCCGATTTGTATCTTAAAACAAAAGACATCAAGATGCCTATATTTATTTCGAATTTGTTGTTAAAAACGATTCTCTCGACAGACAACCCCATTTCATTCATCGTACAGCTCTCAGCCTACCGTTATGCCGACAACCCTCACGACAACAGGTAATAAGAAACGTGTGGCGGTGTGATTTGAGACGCAAATCTGTCAATGACTCAAAGCAGAGGATGAATTTCATAGAAAAAAATCGGTTCCATTCTTGGATTTTATTCTAGGGATTTGCTCGTATGAGACTTTACCGATGACTCCGTACAAATACACATACGTCTTATCTGACGTGGAGTTGGGCACGCACTTTCGAGTTGACTTCACTCTACGAGCCCCAAGAAACGGCAATCTCGCGCTTTCGTCACGGCGCGGAGATCAAGACTCTGGGATCATTTACGAGATAAGTGAGTGATGTTCTTTTCATCGTGCACTTCACTCCTTAGCATTAGCTCTTGTAGGTCGAACCAAGCAAGTTAGCGTGTTTGCATGGGACATTTCAAACCTACAACAGATTTTTGATGCTTTAGAATAAACATAAGCCAATACTGCTGTCCTATTTCCAACCGAGGAGTAAAAACTAGGCTTATGTCAACCGCAGAAAAAAAAAATCATAACAGATTTTGTAGTTCAGGTAAAATAAAACTTTCTGAGAACTATCTCCGTTCTTATTCATGGAGTTTTCGACAACATCACCGTCCATTGTGTCCTCTACAATCACGAGAACGGGAATGCCAGATAATCCTTCAATATCTTACTTGAAAGAAACTAAATAACAGCCCCGGGCAATCTGGCAAATATTTCCGTAAACAATATTGTTTTCGAGAAAACAGAAATTTTGTTCTTATATCGTTAAATAACATTCGTTTCGTTTGTGTGGGTGGTGTGTACAGCTGTACAATAGTGGCCAACGTGGCTGCCGTTTCCAAGCTGCACAGAGGGACAATTTTCATCAATAAAACCTACGATTTTCAGACGTCGAACACTTATGTTTCCAGACATATCTACCTCTGTGGCCATGATTATTAGTTGGTCAACTAAGAATGGATTTTAGACTTCCATTGGGGTGTAAGTTGACGCAAAAGTGGTTATCGAAGGTCGCGCACGCACATGCATGGCCTACTAACTGTGTCATGGACACGGTACGAGGCGAATGCAATAACTTTACAACTCGACGAAGTATTTTTCCCGTGAATCTACAGTGAAATATTGCAAAAGAGGCATATTACTACCCGAGGTAAATTACTCGGTGCTGCGGAAAACGTTTTTTTAAGGCAATCGCACCTGTCACGCCCGTTTATGGGCGTAAATCCGAGGTGGGGGTTATAATCCCCTCCACCTTTGGGGGGGTGGGCTATTGAATCATTTTCCCTCTCCCCATTTTTTTGTGGTGAGCAAAAAACTGAAGTTGGTTTTGAAGAATGTTTCAGACTTCCAACAACTAAAATACATTCACCCAAATAAGGGAAAACAAGTTTTAAAAGCCATAAATATGCCATTCTGAATACCGATACATTATTACAGATGTACATTAATATCACAAATATCGACCTCTGCGTTTTCACGTGCGTACACAAAGCTAACAGGTACGTCCGTGAACACCAATAATGCGTACGTAAAACTATCACGTATGTACATGATATCGTGTACGTACGTGGTAATTTCACGAACATACGTGAAAGAAACCTTTTAGCCGCGGTAATGAGTTTCCGTAGAAAAGACTCCCCTTTCGATTTTTATCAAAGCAGTTAACGCAAACAAATCAATGGAATAAAAGCTTCAGTAATTTCATAAGCCTAAATCAGACAATATCATAAAAATTCGGGTAAACCAAATGTGCAACCTTCCTTTACGACGTGGTAACGTTCGATTTCCTTTTTGAGAAGACAATAAGGGATATTTAGCATTAACTTTAGATTTTTTTCATTATCATTATTATTATTGCGTTCAACCTTAAACCACGAACTATACCTTAAAAAATAGAGCTCCCTTTTGCAATTAACCGACATCCTCAATGACGAGGGCTTCAATTTTTTTCTCATACATGAAATAGTCATCGGTGGTTACGTTAACAGTAAGAGCGCCATCCGTCGATGCAAGCTGTGCGACAAAGGCCAGATCGAGGTCAGCACTGTCGGAATCGTCTCCGACTCCGAGGATCGCGCGTTCTGGATCGAGTATAGCGACGGGGACGTAAGCGTTGGGAGGGGAGAAGCTCCGCCCATGATAAACCAGACTTGGTCAGAGGCTGAGCAAGGGGAGCGTCCGAGTACAGTCTACCTTGGCGTGTCAACATGGCGAGACGCGAGCGGTCACTGGATCTTTCAAAACTGTTCCTAATTAGCGTTGCCATTAGAGATCACACGATGGATTAAATGAGAATTGGGGAAAACTGCTAGACAAGAGTGAAACATGCAACAGTTATATACAGCCTGTTATTCACATTGACCACCTACAATTGTGAAATAAAAGGTTTAGAATACAGTTTAAACTGTTGTATTATGATTACATTTTCATACTGCTTGTTATTTTGAAGTGGTATTAATGTTATATAAATATATATTTATTTCACAGTAGGGCCTGACAGCACAGGCGCCAGTAGTATACTGTTAATGATTTGCTGTAATTTTTTAATGGTAAATTGCTGTCATTTATTGGACAGTAACAGTATCTTATCTCAATTACATTAATTTGATGTAGACATTAGACACAGCAAGTTACCGTTTTCATTGATTATGGGTTCATTCTACGTGTGTATTTAGGGTTCACGTTAATTTTAACCCTAACCCCCAAGGCCCTTTTTGCTATTATAGGGACCCTCCTCAATCCTCCAGAATCCTCCAATTTTGGGAGGTGAAAAAAATGGATTCTCCCTCAATCCTCCCAAATCCTCCAACATTTCTTGAAAATGTTACTTGGTGGTGTGCCTACTGCCTCAATCCTTCAAAACCCTCCGGCAATTGCTGTCATTATGTTGGGGCTGAGCGAATGGCATTCTTGAGCAGTGCGGTTGATTCAAAAGAAATATCGGGCTGAAATTATTCATGACTGAGCACGAACAACACAAGGTCTAAACCATAACCTTCACGCATGGCATCCTTTGACATCAGCCATGCACTTTTGCCATTCACCCTCAATCTTCCAAAACCGCCCGAACGATTTTGGCGGACTGAGGAGGGTTAGGGTTAACAGTTCTTCTTTAATTAGGTAAAATACACATAACTTGTATTCAGAAGCCTTCATCACGGCAGAACTTTATTTGCATTCTTAATGTGCACTGACATGGTATATATGAGCATTGTTTGGCTCCCAAGTGTAATTATGGTTGGAAGATGAAAAAGTAAGATGTTTCATTTATCACATCCGATTTATCTTTTCACACACTGGTTCGCATTTACGTGTAAAACATCCAAAAAGCACAAACATTTGTGAGACTAATGTCAAATATTTGCATAGAACAGATAATCACTTGGCAAAAGTAGCAAAGCCACTTGAGGTCAAAGCTTATATCATAAAACATTACTGTTAAATATACAGTAAATGTATTGTACTGCATTCACAAAAGCACAGTAAATACGTGTAGCAGACACGTTTGTTTACAGTAAGCTGCATTTACAGTTGTTGCAAAAATATAGTGCAAAACTGCTCATTTAACAGAATTATTTTACAGTGTATTTATCCCCGGAAGAATGTGCCCAGTCTATGCCCGGCTAACTTGATCCGTGGTGAGAAGAGCGCTTGCCAGTTTCTCAGCTTTTGAAGAAAAGTGACTAAATTTCATGAAAATACACGTAGGATCAGAGTTGAAGGTTTGCATACAATGCAGGACATCTAGACAGGAAAGTGTATTTATATAAAAGTCCCGTAGTCCCTTCCGGGTCCTGCCAGTACATAGGCCTAATTAACATCAGTGGTAGAGATATGGGGGTAAACATCGCAGTTTTCGCAAAGTTAGATGGATTTATGTATTTCAGTATGAGAATAATAGTTTTTATAGTTTAGTCATTTTTTGCAATCAATTTGGACATTTTAATGAGAAAATTGTGATCTCATCAGATTAGACAACAGTGTTAATAATTAATCGGCAGTTCTATAATGTATATAGTGTGACATTTTAGCGAATATATGTGTGACTGCCTGTATGTACATGTATATGTGTAACTGTGTACCAAAGCGACTACATACATGTATATGATTTTATATGTGCTTTGAAACAAATTTCCCTATGTACACAAAAAATAGCAGTAATAACCATCAAGTCCCCCAAATGCATGCAGCCCAAAACAAAACATCTGGCTTTTATAAAACAAATACCAATGACTCGGCACCTTGTAGCCAAAACGTTGAAGTTTCTGCAGATTATTAGTGAATATCTCATGGCATACATGACATGTTCATCACCCTTTTGTCTATAAAGCACCGTTTTCTGGTTCTCCATTCCTGGAACTCAACCTCTTAACAGCTGCACACTACATGATTGATTTGGCAGGTAATTCCATCATTGTCATACATATATTATGCAATAAAGCAATGGACAAAGGAAAGATAAAACTGACACGTTCAGACAGTTCTCATTTTGCTCAATCACTTTATTTAATTGAAATTTGCTTGTACAAGCGTTGGGGTGCAGACAGGCATGATAACAGGAACTGCCATAATACCAATCCTATCTTACTAGAAAATGAACATTATATTCCCAAATAAATTAAAAGAATTCACATGTGTGCTTGTTTTCGATTACTTCTGCAAAGAGCAAGAGCACAAAAAAGAAATGTTGAATTTCAGAAAGTGCATACAAATAAATCTTTGTAATTGTAAAATTGCAGATATTTCGCATTCTTTGCCACATTAAAATAAATTTGACAATTAACAGCAAATTAAGTTCAGTTTCTTTCTCAAATGGCAACAGCTTTTTCAGTTTACCCAACATTAGGACAAAGACAAAAATTACCATCAACAAGTAAAACAAATAAAAACAATTTTTGGGGATATGATGACTGTTGAGCTACATGTATTAAGTACAAATCTACACAGTTCATACACATGCCACTGCTCAAACTGAGATTTTCAACTTTATCACAAATTTTTAGGTCTTCTTTATCAATTTAAAGTTCAAAATGATTACAGAACAACTTGATTTTTTTGGTTACTCAAAACAATGCATTTTGGACTTCCAAAAGGCAAACAATCAACACTCACAAAGCAAAACTAAATTACTCATTTACTAACGATGACGGCAAAGTGCAGTTTGGCACCACATATGCAAGGGGAACATGACCTTATTTAAAAGGAAACCTTTTTTTTTTTTTCTTAATTTTTGGAACATTTTTTAAACAGACTCAAAGAAAATATGAAAAAAGGCATCTACTGCACACAGACACTTTGAATAGATGGGACTTCTTGCAATGTAGAGTTCCAAGTGACCAGTGTACATATATTATCATCCTCACACAAGAAAGCCAACCACTCAAATCCTCAATCTATCCTGAAGATAAACAATACTATCTTGCTACATGTGAAGTGTACACAGCACAGGGATTTGACTGGGTAATTTTCAAGTTCAGTATCACACATGGTTAGTAGAATGCTGATCAAGTATCAGCCCATCCATTTGTGCTGTTGCACTTTCATCTGTCTTTGTGAAATGCTTGTTGAAGTAATCCTGTAATGGGTAATAAATCCAGTAAGGGAGTATAAAATTCCAGTATGGGGCACTGGATAATGGGAGGGGTGGGGTGGGGGGTGCTGAAAGGGCGTATCACTGATGCACCCTTTGGAGCATCCCCCACCAAATGTGATTATTCCAATATAACAAGCCGATTCATTTAATTCCAAGATCATTTGATTTGCTATGTTTAAGAAGATGGCTCCCTACCAGGTCAATTCCAAGATCTGCCCATCAGCACAAATTCAACATTTCTCATCTAATTACCTTTTAAGGTTAAATTGGTTAATAGCTCTTTACAGAGAGAAGGAATGAGAAACTTGTTAGCGTAAGCAGCCTTCAAGAACAAAACAATGTGGAAATTGGCCAAGCCAAGGATGAAGTTCGTGACAGATGATTGTAGCTGAAAAATTCTCTGATTAAAGTCAAACTCTCCATTACTAGTGACCCCCCCATGTTTGAAGACACATTGTTGCTGGGCAAAGCTTGGTTATTTTAAAATGAGACCTTCACACTCCCTGTACATGTACTGAGACTCCAGCAAAGCACTGGGAGCAAAACTCTTGAAGCTGCTGCAAATGGTGCTTAGCACAGAAAGGTTCCGTTCAAAAGAAATTGGTTAATGGCCAAAATATCAAAGGGTGAATACTGCAGGACTGATCCCTGCTAATCTCTGCACAGCAAGAAAATTTAGTACAAAGCAACCTTTAGTTATTTTCTTTAGGCAACTCCATGGGATTGGACCCTTTTTTTTCTGTAACAACTGTCTCTGAGTGGGTTGAATCCAAAAAGGTTTATTTATGGTGTCAATTAAAGGACTGCTCATTGTCCTGTCCACAACCTGTTTCAAACTCTTTCGAAACAGGTCTCTTGATTCATACCCAATTTCTAACCATGGGAGCCCTTAAATGGGCATGTACCCTCGGTTACCAACTGAGTTTCTTTAAGTGCGCCCAAGAATGCACACAGACATAAAGTAACTGGCTGTACATGTACATGAAACACAGTTAGTTGTTTTTTGAAGACAGCAGCAGCATGTTAATTGATGCTGGCAGGACTGATCAGAATGTACAATGCTTGGCCTTGTTCTGAAAACCTCTTACAGCTGATTTCATTCCCTTGTGCTGAATTAAGGTACATGTACCTCATACAAACGGCTTGAATTGAGCAAACATGTTGATATGGCTGGATATGAATTAAGTGTTGAAATCCCCCTGCTTCACAAGCATGGAAAAGGTTACTAAACAATATTTTTCAAATGCTTTACACCAAAAAGTACAATAGAATTACAAGAAACTTTAGGAAGAAAACTGCAAAGCCTTCGAACCAAATTGAACACTGATATCATAAAACTGCTAAAACACTGTGAAAGGACAACAGGGTTTTTTCAAAACAATGATTTTTAACTTATTTTCCTGAGAAGTGTACACATATATTAACTACCCCTCAAGGAAATACATACATGTACATGTCTAAAACAATGCAGATATTTGTCCTTATAAAATCAGGTAGCCTAATGCACAAAAACAAAATATTTTAGGTACTGAAAAACTGACTTCATTTGCTTAGTATTTATCTGAAAGCACCAACAGGTGCTCTGGAGCAAGTTTATTTGCATGTTAAAGCAAAATGCTCTGCATTATATTATTTCCTAAATCAAGCTGTGCACAGCAACTAGCAATTTGTTTTAGGATGTTTATAGCTCCTGCTGCAAACTGTCAAGATTTCAAAAGTCGTGTGATTTGCATTAAAAAAATGTTTCAAGCACACACGCGGTTGGTAACATGGTAGCACTTCCTGAATACACACATGCATTTAGCAAAACAGGATGCGGTCAAAATTAACACTGGGGAAGAACTCAGGAAAGGTATTAATTCGAAACAAGTCCAACGGTGCTCAAGAAAACATACAATCGATCCTTTCAAGAGGTGGTTGTCTGTGATACCACACCTCTTACTGCAAATGACAACATGGTACACAAGTTAACACCACAGTGGCCTGGTGCCCATGTCAGGAAAAATTTATGACAGATTTGTGCACATTCTGATGAAAATCATACCACTTCTGAAACAGTTGGCCAAGGTCAGTGGTGTATCCAGCAGGGGACAGGGAAAACTGTTTCAGGGGAGGGGGGTTGAGGAGTCTTGTGTATAGATGCTAGGAAAAAAACTGCACCTCCCATTCCCTCCCCACAAAACATCTGTGTACACCACTGGCTACAGCTGGCAATTATGTGCATGTATTATAGTATGTGGCTACAGGTACTATCCGTAGTCAGTGACTTTCACAGGCACACACATTATTTGTGGTCACAGCCTTTAGATACTGCCTAATGTGGCAAAATGGCAGAATCCTAGGCTGTCACTCTGCCCAAATCTCTTGCTGGCATGTGGGCCATGTATAATAAAAAACGGCAAAATTTGAAAAACCAATGAGTTCTTAGCAAACTTGTTAAGCAGAAGGGGTAGGATTGGGTTCAAGAACTCTTCCGCAACCCCATCCCAAGTTAGGGTGTTCATACTGTGTGCATATTTTGGTATATAGAGTTTGATTTTTTCCCTTCAAAAATTGGAAGCAATTGTAGATATTCGTACACAGCTGTTTTCAAGAAAATGGCATACATGTGTATGCTGACATGTCCGCATAATTGTACATGTAGCGTTCAGAACTTTAAACCTGACTGGAAGATTTTCTACTCCACTGGCTATGTTTTAAGGATGGTTGGAGACAAGCAAAACTTGGTGGGCAGCTAGGCTACTTCAAGTTGGAGAATACTGAATGACATGATCACGCCATGGAATTCAGTGCTGCAAAGCATGAGCTTATAAACTTTCATTAAGACATACTAATGCTTGCCAGGAACAATTCCGCGTAACACAGCTTCTTCAAGAAACAAAGACTACTGACTAAATAGTGTATCTACAATACTTATGCATAATCTGCAATGAAGTTGGTGGGGAAAAAAAGAACAATAGAACAAAACAACTGACCAGGACAACTTTTTTCCACAAATTAATAGGCACCATTGTTGATTTAGCAGGGATATACATGCATGTACCTACTAGGCGTACAGTTTTTTAAAAAAGGTAGGATGTTTCAACTTTCAAAAAGGATCACTGTGTAGTGATACCATTTCATTATTTCATTAAGAACAATAATTTTGACTTCTTCTTAGTATTATCCAACTTAACGAATTTCTCAAATTTAAAACTTTGTGACAACTGTTAAAAATAGATATAAATTCCACAGGAAAGAAAAGCAATCTAAATTTAACACACTTTTGAAAAAAAGGGACAGTGATGTAGACAAAAAAGGATGAAGTTTACAACTGAGAACAAGTCATGTATATTCAAAACAACATTTTATCAACCAACTTCACACAAAAACATAAAAAGGTCCAGGCTATGGGTCAAATAGAACATTTCGAAAGTCACAGCAACACAGTAGAATTCTCTCAAATTGTTAAAGACCAACTCCAACGGTTTTAAAAGTTTTGAAAATACTGTTAACTATGACTGTGTTTCATGTGTAATAAATCACATATTCATTACCAAATCTGTGGCCTCATCATGAACCTGATATGCCGCACAGATATGAAACTGAAAAAATTCTGATTAAATGTTTTTGCTTCTTGGAATGTTCTGTTTGGTTGGAATAATACCGCCCTCTACATTTCAAAAAAATAAGCCACCCCAGCTGTTGAGATTTTTAGAAAATGAAGAAATGATATTACCCTACACATTCATGCATCTAACTCAAAAAGTTTGAAATGTGGCATATCAGGTTCATGCATGGGGCCACAGAAATCATGCCTGTACTGTGTTTTTTTTGTAATTTTGCTGAAACTTTTGAACGGTGTCTTCGAATTTACGAAAAATTTTCACAATCTGACTGCTAGAGCGCTGTTGAGAAACGAATTTTTATGATGTAATGCCGGAAAACATTGAAACTGGTATCCATGGCACAACTGGTTCCGCTACAAACGCACATGAACATGGAGCTACATGTACGTGTACCGCGCACCAGGGATCGATCTGTGCGCCGGTCTACTGTGTCGCACTATCTGTCTTGTGTTGAGAGTTGATTTACATGTACAATAATGCCAAAATCATGCGTCATTGGTGGATGTATTGATTCTGTGAAAGAACCGGGATTGAAATTCTTCGAGTTTCGGAAGCTGTCGTCCGCGGCTATGCGTGTTACACATGCCTAAAATGCACACACTGTGGTACTTCCTCTCCATGGTAAGGCATCACAAAAACCACTATTCATTAGATGCGAATGAGTCGTGACGACACACCCATTTTTACAAAACCGGACTGGACTCGCGGGAAAAATGGGTCCAAAAACTGTGTTTTATTGACACAAAAATGTGTATTGCAAGGGAGATACTGACATGTGCCACTTTTAATAGACTTACCTCTTCTGAATAAGATTCAATATATGAGAAAAGTTAGCATTGCTGGAGTTGGTCTTTAACAGGGATGAATGGTGGTAAAAGTAATCAAGAGGGGATAAGGTTTGCTAGCAATTTTCATCTGCAGCCCAGAAAGTTTCATTGCTTGCTTTAAATGCTTGGTACTTTACGCACTCAAAAAAATAAATAAATAAACACGATACCTGTACCTATGTTTCCATTCACATGCTGGCATTTGTTCTTGAGAGTAGAACTAAAATTTAGACTGGAGTGCTGCACAAAGCACCTTTCATAGAGTCAATCTCTTCCAATGATGGACTTTAAATCAGTGTAAAATGACAGACTGTTGTCAAAAATTACTGTGGACAGTGCTGCCTATCAATTAGCAGGGCAGGAACTTCACGGACACATGGAAGGCAGTTGCCATGATGCCCCTGGTATTTGCCTCAATGCCCTTTGAAATGTAATGTTCCCATAGACAAGTTGATTTTAAATACAAGTTGCCTTGCCCTTTCAAGAACAAAGTTTCTGCCCTGAATTAGCACAGTATACTGAAAAGTGGTTAACTTAAAATAGCTAAAAAAAAAAAGATCCTCCTAAACATCAGTTTGACTGATCGAATTGGCCAGTGGATACAAATCTCTCAAGAGCAAGAAAGATGAGTTGCACAGAAATTACTTTGTCTATGTACTTATTTGGTTTTTTAAGTGCAACGTGTGCACTGCTTTCATGATCTGCTTTAGACAACAGAGTCCATTCCATTTTGATTAATGTTCTTGCTTTATCTCACCGACAGTGGACACTTTCTACCCTTTGATAGGTAAACTACATAAAACAAAGTGTTTAACTTCAAAATTATTAACCCAAGCTTAAAAAAATCATAATTTTGAACCTCGAAAGTATCAGCTGAGAAGAAACTAAATAGCCTAAGCTACATGTACACGCCATGCTGGAGCCACACCAATTCAAAGAATTTGATCTTTGAAAAGTTCAGTCTGGCAAAAGCTCAGCGTTTAGTTCCAATTCAGCTCAGTAAAAGTGTATTCACTGCGGTCCTTCAGCTCAACAGGGTATGCTGTGCTATTGCTCTGAAAAGCAGTGGCATGGCACTGCACTATTAAGCTTAGCATTTGGTATGACTGCCGTACAACTGCCACACTCATTTGAATTAAGTTTGGCACCGCAGTAGCACAATGTCTAACTTTGACTTCACTCTTTAAAAGAATTGCCAAAGTGTACTGTAAATACATGTAGCGTTGATTGTGGAATTTTAGCAATACGTACTTTAAAATTAATTGAGATTTAAGTTTCCTTATGAATCCTCCCTCCCATTCTGTACTGAGTGATTTCCAATTCTCCATCTCTGGTCTTGTCTTGCCGACTTACTAGACCCTGGACTTCCTGAACCGTAACCGCAAGAGCTATTTGCCAAAAGGAAGTCCCATACAGAAAAACTGTTAAGCTTGGTACATGTACATCCTTTCGCTAAAGAAAGAATGAAACTTCCCAAAGATCAAATTAAAAGTACATTTAATGAATTAGAAAGGTTGTGCACTACACGTACATATATTCAACACATAACGAAAGATAGTTTTGAAGTAAGCTTTAAGGTTTTTATAGTTTTTGTAAGTCAATATTTCTCGATCATTAGAATTACAGATTTTTAAAGCCTTTTTTTCAGCTAATCATTTACATTTTATATATTTTGACAGCTGCGCAGTAAACTGAAGCAAAAAACTGTTGACCTGTGGGTCATTTACAGTGTATTTTTCAGGTTATTTTCACCCATCAGTTATTCATCTATGAATGCTGAATGTACACTTATCTTATACTGTACTGAAAAAAAGTGGGTCAGCAATCACTTATTTACATGTTGATATTGTTAATGCAGTTTATGGTGTTATTTCAACACTGGAAAACATCTCTGAAAATGCACAACAGAGAGGTCACTGTGGACTTAACCCAAGCAGTGTCCTGCAGTAATCATAGAATCATCTGGCATTTGAAGAGTAAACTGCCTGTGTTTTGGGATGGTAATTGAGTGATCTTTACTCGGTAAAAGTCTGAATTTTGAGGGAATAGCCCAACTCAAAAAGCATCTAATTGATTCCGAAAGAAAAGGTTAGGTCACACAGTGTCACTTCTTCTAGCACAACAAAAGACACCCTTTGCTAAGTTTATCCCAACAATCCTAGATCCTTCAGAATCATCCCAGAGGTTTTGATGGTTCTTTTAGGATTCAAGAATAAGATGTCCTGGCTAACAGAGATGCCAACTTTTCAAAATGAAAGAGTGTAATCCTATCACACTTCCAGTTCCCGTTTCCCGACCAAGCCTAATTTTTTGGCATAACCCTAAAAATTTTCATCGGCATATTAGATAAAAAATTTTTTTCTTGGTCTAACTAATGTGCTTCGCAGTGTCGTAAGATCCAGCATGAGCAATATCTATCATGTCACAGTTACATTCGTTGCAAAACAAGTAAGCTTCTCCACAACAAGATTTTGCAACAAAGGCCCATTTGTGGTGTACTTGTCCCTGAACTTATGCTCACTTGTTGCCACTGTGCAAAACAAGTCCGACTGCTCACAAAGTATCCAAGAATCAAAATCCTCGACAGCCCTCCATTCCGGTCAACTTCAGTACGATAACAAATTTCGACACACGTGTGTAGGTTGGTAAATGTACAATGCATGGATGGATGTACACAATCACGATGCATTTGAAGGGCAATCTTGCCTTTTTCGCCCCCTGTTCATCATCGCGTACATTTGGGCAAACAGATGATTCAACCTCGCTGGTTTCTACCACTCCTCACGCAGCTTGTATGAACAAAAAGCGGGATGCCAGCAACACACTTCTGACGCCACATTACGAGGCTGGATCCGTGCTAGCTTACGTAGAGTTTATACACAACTGTATGGTTTTGTACCTTCGAGTTGGAAATCGTAAAAATTTTAATCTGGATCGTACAGTCATAGACGGACTAAACAAATTGTAAAAGTTGGCATCTTTGTAGCTTTTTTGGGTTTACATGGACCTCCATACATTTTAATGGGCTTACTACAAAGAACAAGCTTCTGGTTTCAAACATAGTTGTGGATTTTGAAGACTTGGGGGGTCCTTCCTCATGCAAATGCCAATGGAGGGAGCTGAGGTTAGGCAGCACCAGTCATTGCACAGGTTGGATGACTACTAAATCTTATGTTTACTGACAAGTACATGTATCTGACACTTGATGCCGCTAGAGTAATGAATGTGTTTGTTGGCAATGGCAGAAGTTTGATAAAGGCACGTGGCCAGTGACAGATGTAAAACACTGGCCGTGGTAGTTTGTTATTCTTGGCATGATTAATGTTAACTACACCATTTCGCACAAGCCAAATTAATTTGCTTTTGCGATCAAAAACACTCAATTCAAACCAAGCACCAAATATGAACCACCAAAAACAAAATGAAAGGTGTAATTCACTACATAAAGTATTGTCAAACTATTTTTCTATAATGACATTTGACATGTATGCAGTGTACTTTTTTGGTATAAAATCTGTTTCTTATTCAAAATTAGTGACTAACAATTTCGGAATCTGTCTCAGAGACCAGCTTCAAATGAGCACATTAACAAATTAATTTGTTAATTCATACACTTACTTGAGAAACCTCTCACCTCCAACCTAATTCTCCCATTTTTCCCAACTGCCCTCCTGCATGCTGACGAATCCATGCTGTTATTACAATGCTGAACAAATCCTAGTCTAGGACCAGAACTTTATTCTCTCCAATCTCCGTCTGTGTTTTACACCATTCTGTGAATCAAACAAATTTAAACTAGGTAATACACGTAATTAGTTTCCATTTCATGTATGAAGGACTTGCACAGACAGAACAATTTTAAAGGGTAAAATGAAGCTAGATGAATGACTTTGCCAATGAAGAGCCAGGCAATGCCCGGGCCTTCCCACTGGTAATCTTTTGTTAGCATTCAACTACCTGACAATTAGTTTTGCCATTCCATGAAGTCAGGTCCCTAGATGGCCTGGCCAGATTAAAGCCCGCCCACCTCAGATGAGTTTGTGGCTACGTTTCAGTTCCATTCCATGTGCAGGCACCTTGCAGTGGAAACAATGGCCCAGGACTCAGCGGCGGCTGGCAGTGAAGAACTATTTTTCAAAGCAAGATATGATAATAGCCCAAACACCCTTGCTTTGCTGGAATGTGGCATGGCTTTGCAATGGGCCTATCACTGACGAGTCACACTTTGACATGCGCCCTTTCCTGTGGAGCCATTGGGCAGCTGCAGTCCAATTAGCTCCATAGAAAAGCACACACAAGCAGAGTGCAGCTGCACCAGTACATTAGTCTATTGCAAAGCCTGGCTACTGTTCCAGTTCTCTCCCTGTCTTCTCCATGCACCTGACTCAGACTCCAGATAACCCCCTTTTCCTCTCGGCACTAATTAACATGTATGGAGACACCCGAGTTCTCTACAAGGAAGACTGTTCGTACTTAAAAAACTTGTTTGCCAAAATAATCATGGCATCACAAAACTGGCAGCAGATGCCAGGAATTTAGAAAGGCATCTGTGAATGCACTGTAATCCAATGATTGTACATTGTACGCACGAACCCTGAATGCTACTCCATGAATAGAACCATATGGTAAAGTCAAAAGCACCAGGAGCAGATGGAAACCAGCTTGGAGGTGGATGGACTGCACTATTAAAGGAAGACACTTCTGTTCTGAACATTCTAACACTTGATAAAGCAACTGAGTGGCACCACTCAGTGCAGGTTGAGTAGAGGCCAAAGCGGTTGTTCCCTCCTAATGACAACGGAGAGAGAGGCTGGTGGGTAGCCAATGGGTGGAGGAAGCACCATCGGCATATTTGTGATTGTACCATAAATAAAACTCTTTTGGAGAATATGAAAACACTTCAGGCAATACACCCTATCCATTGTCAGAAGACACTAGGAGACTTATTGAGATCAGTAAAAATTGAAGAGGTTAAAGGCTACAGTGCAAACCATCAATTACCTGCAAACAGCATTCCCGCCACCTCTAAGTGGTTGAAGTCTCCTGTGTCATCTTTCTTTCCCTCCAAGGCAGCTTTGATACCCAAGGCACCGTCAAACTTTCCAAAGCTGACACCTGAAGTAGCTGACGAGTCACCTCCTGCTGCATCATCCACTTTGGCTGGGGTGGGCTGATTGGAGTCTTGGCTCATGAAGGACTTCTCAAGTTCAGCACAGCTCAGACCTGTGGGCGTCGGAAGCTGCCCTGTTGCTGGAACATTAGAAAGGATCTCCTTTACGGGACTTCCTCGCTTCATGGCAGAGCTCTCCTCACGCAGTATCTCGTAACCAGCCTTGCGAACAATCACTGAACCGAAGGTGATGTCAAAGTTGTCTTGTGGATCAAGGTCAAAAACGGGATGGGGTTTGGAGGTGGAAGAGCCAACAGAAGGGGTTGGGGAGGAGGTGGTATTTCTCGAGGTCAATGGAAGGGTAGCTGGAGAAGCTCTTGGTTGAGAACTGGCGGGTTGATCAACAGGTTTAAAGTCTGTGGAAGAGACAAGATTGCTGCTGCCTGGTTTAATCATAACATTGCTTCCTCTACCAAGGTCGTTTTGGGTTGGTGTTTTTGTACCGAGCACAATGGTAGCTTTGCTGGTAATTAGCACTTCCTTTTCATTTGGTTCAGATCCCTTTGGTTGTGATTTCAGATCTTTTAAGCCTGCAACTTGCACCCGCTGCACATCTGAGGTCAGCAGCTGCGGGTGCACTGCAGCAGCTTTTGAGACGGCAGGGCGTTGTCCTTTCAACCGACCCGCATATGTCAAGTCTAAATATTGCACACTGGCCTCAGGGCCTTGTGGGGGCACCGTACGCCTAATGGAGTTATCATCAAATGACACTTTCTTTGTCACTCCACTGGTGTCTACAGAACTACTTCTTTGGAAGCTCCTCACTTGTCCTACCTTGCTGCTGTCGCCAGGTGGTCTCATTGTCTGAGAGACAATGTAATGTTTCTCAGGTCTAACACTGTTCTTTACTAACTGTTCTTTGGCAGAGTGTGCAACGACAAACTCACTTTTACTGGTACAGCTTGTATCACTCTTATCTAGTACTGATATTCCTGAAGGCATGGGCTTTGGTTCCAAGACCGCAGGCTTATTTCCAGTCACAGAATCAGAGGAGTTCTCGCTGCTGGCTGGGTTATCGGACTGATCGTCGTCTCCATAATCCAAAAGTGCTTGTGGACTGAGCTTCGGTGGAAGTGACGACGTTTTCATGTTTGACTTTACTTTGCTTGCATATGAAAATTCAGATCGTTGTACTGTGGTGGTTTCCGTCAACACAGAGGATGTAAGATGCATGTCAGTCTTGGTAACACTGTCTGAAAGATATTTTGGTTTAGCTTTGTTCTCAACACCTTCACTGTCTTTGTCACCTAGTTCAAACATTCCCGCAGGTTCGCTACTCGATTTCCGCAGTCCAGCAGATTGCAAATTTCTACTCCGGGAGTAATCTCTGTCCCTTTCCATGTACCTCCCAGACGAGTGAACAAACCTGTGGTCATCAATCACACCGACACTGCGCTTCTTGGCAATGCGCAGGGAGCGTTTGTACTCTACTTTGATGAAATCGCGGGTGTCTTCATTGTCAGCAGAATCGCCAGTGGGCTCACTCAGACTGTGTGGCTTGCCAGCTATGGCTGACCAGTCGGGTGCAGCTTCCTTGTCTAATTGTACCTTGGCGTCATTCTTGTCACTGTCAGAGTCACTGGGGTCACTTTTGACAGTAAGACCTGCGCCAGGTTGCACGGCTGGCAGTTTGGAAAGAAACTGATCGTATGGCTGAATGTCAGCCTTAAAATGTATATCAGCCTCTGGGGTATTGTTGGCAGGTTCTGGTTTTACCAGCGGATCACCCTGGACACACACATCCTTTGTGCTATTTGAATCAGTTTTACCGGCACCCAGGCCCCCTGTGGCACTGTCGATTTGTGGAGTTTGAGGTACATTATCAGAGCAGTCCCCAGCATCTCTTTTCACTGCATCCATGTTGTGCTGCTGACTGCTGACATCACTCGTGCATGCACCTCCATCTGCAGATGATTCACCACTGGAAGTCACGCTATCTGACGACACCATAGGCGGTGGGTGTCGGGCATTTTCACTTGAAGGCCCGGCAGTAACTTTGGAGGTGGTCACTGAGTGAGAGTCTTTCAGCTGGAGTTTGTTGCGTAGCTCTGGAGGCGAATGTGGTAAGGGAGGTGCACCAACAGGTAACTTCACACTGCTTAAGCTTGCACTTTCAAAACCAGTTCCTGCAAGGGGAAAAGATGACAGAAGTTTTTCACTGACAAAAACAGCTCTATGATACTTTTCCTCAAGCTCTTTCGTGTCAACTGTTGCTTTTATATGCTTATACCAATAAACACTCTTTGCTCTCATTATGATTGAAATAAGTAATGCTTGGTTAACCAACGAAATAAAGAAGGAATTTTACAACTGCTAATATTTGCAAGTTTGTATCAGGTTTCTGCTGGATATGAATACTTAACTGTCAGGCCAAGCCAATTTTACAGGTAAATTTAACTGGATTTGCACAAAGTAAAGGACCAATGGTAACAGGCCTTTTATAAATGGACAATGCAGGTGGACATTTGCCCACCCACATGCATGTTGTTGCCAATGCAATCCAATACTGCAAACCTGTATGGGAAAATTCATCAATTTTTGAAGTGGTCAATCCTTGTACCATGTGAAAATACAACTGCAAATTCCTGAAATCTTTCCACCCAGTGAGAGTTTCTGGAGGAGAGGTTAAACTGGAAGCATGACACACAGAAAAGACATATTGCGCCCGAAGTCAAGTGACCTACAGTGGGTATTCAATATCAAGAAACTCAGTGTCCACCACAAGCAAAGTGTTTCATAAGTATCATTTTTTTACCAAAAATAAAGCGGATGGTAGGTACCGTACTCAGACTACTGATATGCTGGGTACTATTCTGTAAATTGGCTTTGTTGTTTGTAAACAAAACTCAAAACACACATTGCTATGGGGTTGATATCCACTAGAGGTCATGACAACTCAAAAAACTAACCTGCCGCTTTCTTTTTCTTGTTTTTCTTCTTTTTTTTCTTGGCAGCATTCCACTGGCATTCAATGCTTTTTGGCTGCTCCTCCAAATTAATATCAAATTCATCATTGTCCACTTGATCACATGCCCCATCCGTTGAAGGACTGACATCTGCAGCCAATTTATTTACATGAGAAGGCACTTCTGGAGTACTGAAAGAATTAGTGTCAACGTGAGTCGATCCCTCTGGTGTGTCATCAGGCAGCTGGTGATTAGAAAGTGTGTCTAAATTAAGAGTTGTTTTAGTCTTTTGATGAGGACCGTCATTGCTTACTGCACTGTTCATACATACGTCTACATGCAAGTCTGGGACGGTGCCATATTTTGTCCCAACCTTAGCAGCCATGACACCGTCTGATGAATCAGGATATGCGAGTGTGGCTGTTGTTGTGGACAGAAACCAGGGTGGAGGACAAGTAGTGTGTTTCGGCTGACTGTTTGTGAGGAGCTTTCCAACTGAGTGGCCAACGTCCTCAAGGGATTTAAATGGTGGGAAGTCAGGAATTGGTGGTGACTTGGGTATCAGGGCAGCCCTCTCCTCCTTTGTGCAATCGCCCAACTCACAGCTGTTGTCACAAAGGGAGTTCTCAAGATGCAACAAAGAGCAATTGGGAATTTTAGCGATTGGTTCAGACTTACATAAATCAACTTCTGAAGCAGTTTGAGGTGGTTTAGATTTTATACATTGTTTTTCCTTGTCAGTAAATTTTGGAGTTCGGCTCTTTGCATTTTCTGTAGTGCCATTCGTGAGGTACTGTTGCTCTATCGAACTGGTCGCAGGGTGCTTTTGCGGAGACAGCTTTTTGTGCTGTTTCACACCAGTAGTCCGCGCCTGCTGCACTTTGTTAGGTGCAACGACAGGCTCCATGGTGCTCCATCGATTGGGATCAAGGTTGGAATTCGTGTCCCTAAATGTGCTGTCCAAAGTAAGAGTGGCTCCAGGAAATGTTTCCTGGTCCAGATATTTTTCAGTGTCTTGAAGAAGCCTACGCGGCTGCCTGAGGTAAGAAATGCCTGCTTGGCTTTCAGCATCTGCTCTCCAAGGGAGTCCAATGTTCCTCAGATGACTCACAGGGCCCTGCCACTGCAAAATGTCACCTTGGATGTTGGGACTGCTACTGGCCAGTGTGTGGGCATTAAGCCGTTGACTCAAAAGAGCCCCTGACTTGGACTGAAATTTCCCATGAGGTAGGTGGTTTGAATATCCCGTCTCTGCAGTCTTCGGATGGAGGCTGTCAGTGATGTGCCTACTGACAAAATGACCCAAAGATCCAACAGCTGGAGATGAGAAAAGTGCAGCTTCACTTTCCTGGGCAGCTTTCAGTTCCAGCAGCGTTTCTCCAGGCAAATCTGCTAAATCACGAGCTCTGTCTTTGATACCCTCCACCTGAGCCAAAAAAATTAAGAATTATGTCAGATAAAGCTATAAAACAAAGTCTAATTCTAGCACAGAGATAAGAGAGATTAGATTGTTGGCACAAAGAAAGAGTTCATGCATGTATAGTATATAAAGCATTTATGGACTTATTTTACAAAAACAGAGAAGTCATTCAACTCGCTAATAATTGATTGAAATGCTTTTCAGAATAAAATTTTCAAATACCATCAAAATATGATGTTGTGGGTTCTTTGCCTTCTCAAAGCTGCTTTCTCAAAATTTCAAATAGCATACTTTATTACCCAGGTCAGATTTGAAGGTTTGCATGGTGAAGATGGCCACACTGACGTGGTTTGCAGAGACACCATTTGATCTATCTCTTCCATGAGCAGGTACAACTCTGATAAGAACCGGGGCTCGATGTTCAAACAGCTTGCTCTGTTCATCTGTTTGAGCCCCCCCCCGGTTCTTATCAGAACCATACATGTACCTGCTCACTGGAGGGATGGATCAAATGGTGTCTCCACAAACCATGCTACTAGTACTTTATTATCTTTTACCACAGTGGGCAAGTTTGAGACTTGATTCATAAAAACAAACTGGCAATACTTGATATACTTGAAAAAAGAGTTGGAGAGAGATTTTAATGGATCTTTTGCAAGGTATTTAGTTTTTGGTCCATAAGGCCACACACTTCCTACATAATGCTCTATCTTCACACATACAAGTCCATGAATATTAATGAAAAGTGCTGATGCAAGCTGATTCTTTCAGGACCTTAAAAGACTGGAAGTGAAACGAACAAGGTATTGTAGTCAATGACAGTAACAATCTTGAGTGTTTCCATGATGCAAGCTGCACATGTTGGTTTCTTCCACTCACCGGTGACCTTTTGTCGTAGGACATACATGTACATGTAGCTCTAAGAAACATGTAAATTACCAGGAGTTGAATAACATGAAAAAACCTGAAAAAAAAATAGACCACAGGGCAGTGTTTCCCCTGCCGATTCAAGTGTAACGCGGCCACTTCACTGATTTTAGTGACCATCTCGAGCTTTTCTGTTGAATTTTACCACCACACACTTGGATGGAAATAGACAAAGATGGAAGGAAAAAGCAAAATGAGTTAGATATAAATCAAATTTAAATTATTTGGAATGATAATGAAGAACAAAGAACACAAGATCGATTTATCTAAGAGGAGAAATTTGGAGTAAATGTACTATTAGACTACACAGAATTTATTTTAGGCTGTTTTAAAAACCAGTGTTGTAGTACTCGTACTTGGTACTCATACTCGAGTACCACTCCAGTACCTTTTCAGAGTACTTGTGTCTTACTTACACTCAAATTTCCAAGAACTTGTACTTGAACAGTTCCTGTATTCAAGCTGCAAAATACTTGGAACAGAACTTTATTCGAGCATTGAGGTACTCATACTCAATTAACAATACTTGATTAAAAAAACACCTTTAAATCCCGTACCGGCCACTGAAATACAACAGTACAAGAAGATTGTTCCTCGCAGATCGATATTCGGTATGGTCTGACAAACATAAGGCCTACACATTTGCTGTCTTAGCCAATTAAGACCGCGAAACGCCGGTGTATTCCTGGTCTTGGTTCCAAGACCTTCCTGTTTATTCTGTGACATGAACTATCACCAGACATAGGGGCCGGAAGGGGCACTGTCACTGTGTACTGCCTTGTAAACTACAGGTACACTGCACACTGCATGCAACAATGGATTGCAGCACCGCAGAAGGCATCTTGGGTCCAAGAGTAGGACTGGTAACACTCAATTTAGTTGTAGCTTGTCTGGTTCCCGGACCTGACATAGAATCTAGAAAGTGGGCATATAAATAGGTCTGGAAAGCAGATTTCACCCATCCACATTTATGCCATCGCGTTGTGCATGCATAATGCATCACGAGTCGGGGTCGTACTGGTACGTGTATGGTACACTGCACATGGCCATGTGAATCACCGATCACCAATCACTACTCTATTGCTCTGTATATTGTTTCGGAATGTTACTTACATGTTTTTTGGTTGGCATGACAATCACACAGAGTTTTAGTGGGTAACCTGTGTTTTTGAGCAAAGTTTTTTGGCACTTCGGCCAATTCTGCACTTTGCAGTTCTGTGAAATTGGACCATGCATCAACGGCATTTGCTTATTCTTGATGCTTTACATTTTACCTTCTTAGTCAATGTTTTTACTGTCATTGATGCATCACAACTGATGATCCTTCTCTTGCAGTGTACATGTAAATGTTGTACCTCTGCATTTTGCCAAGGAGACTAAAATACATGTACATAGTTTTGGGACTTAATACAATCTCCAAATTTACCTAGACATACTGCTTTGGGAAAGCTATGGCAGATTTTCATAAGAACAATCAGTTCCAAAAGGGTTTGTAGATCCACTCTTCATATTCATAAACATTTTGACATACAAATTTGACTATTTACCCAGACTTAAAGTACTCTGACTTGTATTCATAATGACAGGTACTCGTACTTGTTGTATTCAGAGGTACAAGTACTCGTACTTGAAAATCAGTTCTTGTACTCGGCTGGTAAAGTACTCAGACTTTCAGGTACTCAGAACCTCATAAAATTTATTAGACTACAATACAGATTACAAGACAGACACAGCACCAAATGTGCTGGTGAGATGTTTCACTGAACATGTACTGTCTTGAAATACTTGTAATTTTTGTACATGTACATTTACTCAAAGAAAATTAAATGGGATAGGTGTTGAAATGAAAGGCAGAATGCACGAATTTGCATGTAAATTGATACCTTTTATTTACCAAACTGTTTGGAATAAATTGCAGAAAAAAATATGTCAGAGATAATGCAATAGAATGCTGACCTTGTGCTGGTATCCTGCTGCAAGACTAATGTTAAAAAACCACTGACCATGGTCCACAGGTGTTATGGGTATTTTAAACCTTGTGTTCGCGAACATAACATATCCAGCAGGGTCGTCTGATCTACATGAACAGCCATCAATATATAAAAAATTGCACGGCTATGTATCATCCACAATAGCTTTACTATTCACATGAGAACACAAGTTCATGCTGGAAGTCTGCAACTTTCAGACTGGTGAAAAACATGTAGTGTGTTGAACAGTTACGCATGACTCACTACAAAAAATTCAACTCCACACTTTATGCACTAGTCTATCAGTGTGTACATGTATGTATATATACATGTACATGTACTGTACATGTAGCATGCACTGTACATGAACATCCCATGCACAACCCAAGGTCCAAAATGTTGCAATTATTCATGTACATGTATTGTACTACCAGGTACTCGTACGTGTATATTCTGCACTTTTACAGAGACACCTCATGTACAAAATAACCAAATGGAACTTGGCAAATGTAGACACTGCTGATAACAACCAGAGCCGAGTGATTAGATCAATTCACTTATCAATGAATCGTGCGCCGAACAGTCATTCATGACAAATCAATAAATTCACATTAGCTGGTTCATGGATCCTAACATGACGCAGTCCATGTGGAGTCTTTTTTGAAGACCTTCTATTTGCTTCAGAGTACATGTACATGTATATATATGGGAGCCAATGACACTGTGTACGGTACATGGATAACTACACGATCGTACAAACTACAAACTGCAAATCAAAGTGTACAGGTAAACGTACACGTACTATACATGTACAATATGGTTGAACAATAGAGCAACAAAATTTGGTCAGTGGCCTCTGTACTCTGTTAGCTTTAAAGCTGCAGGAATGACAAGGTATACATGTACATTTTCTCTATTACATGATACAGAGTCCATGCTACGAACAATTTCAACCTACATGTACATATTAATCCTGCCTGCACAATTAAAACCACTAACGAGGTGGTACCAAAATGGATTAAGTCGGCAAATACATGTGCACACATGAATAAAGCCTGGTTTCCATATGGTCGTTTGTAACACAGATGGCCTGCAAGACGTGAAGACACAGACACAAATGGAAGAAATAGTGCATGACGTCATTCCACCCGAAAATTGAAACAAAATGGAATCCGAAACTCCGTGATTTTTTGCGGGAAATGTATACCCTTCTATATTGACTGTACCGCCTCATGATGCCAAACCTGTACTCCGGTTTCATGCATTTCATTGGTGGTCAGCTATTCAGTTGATAATAAGGGTGTAATATTTAAGCATTAATTAAGGAGAAAATAGGCAAAATTTGTGGAAGTAAGTGATCTGGAGGGACATCACTGCGCGTCGGTTATGCCAGCACGCGTGTTTGTATGGGAATACCACGGCTACATGTACTCAATGTAGACAGTCGGCAAAGTCGAACCTGGATCAACTTTGCCAATCGTCGCGGGCTGGTTTGCATTTGTCTGTGTTGTTGGTGACACCAGGCTTAACAGGGGTGGTTACACCAACAATACCCTATCATAACCCATTCCCCTTTCACTGTCTCCTTGCAGAACTTCACAGACCGTACAATTTCATTTCAAAGCTGAAAAAAAAATCTTACTGAAACCTCATGCATCCATAAATGCAAAAAACTGATTTGTCCTAGTCCAAATGGAATGAACATGTAATGCATGGCTAGAAGTCATTTTTTGTTCACTATTACCAACAAATAATGGTCTTTCAATGGTTATTTCATGGTGGTGAAATGAAGTTACGACTGGTCGGTAAATTTAATTACCTGATTACCGGTAGCTGTGATATTCACAATGGCAACTACATGTAGGAATACCATGGGGGAACACGGCAGAAGTGGACAGAAATGCTCCCAAAATATTTCAGTCCAAATTACGCACCTTGCATTTACACATGTGCCTGTGTCTAAAGACCAAAATGTTTGTGTGAATTTCGGCCTTTACTGAAGTGAATGCATTAGTCACTTTGGCCATCCCTAAGTCCCATTTTGCTGAAAGCAAAGTTCCTACCTTTATGTGAAGCTCTTGCACATAAACTGCTCTATAAATTCTCTGA